GGATACGAAGTATGCACATGTCATAAGAGGACAAGACCTGGAGAGCAGGGTGCCAGCTACGGATATTCCACCCGATGACTCTGGAGTACGGATACATTCACAGTGGGCGCTGTCAATCTGGGAACAGAGAACACATGACATTACGCAAGATTCAGGCCAAGTCAAGTCGAGACGAGGCGCGGCCCTCGGGACATGGAGGGCAGGCCATGTCTATGCGATTGCAGGGTGCACGTTGACAGGCAAACAGGGGCGGCATCGGCAAGGGAGTTGGACTTCCATCTCGTACGCGGCATTCGTACGGCAGTTGAAAGGGAGGTGAGTGTGTGTGTGTGTGCGCGCGCGCTTGGGAGTGTGTGGTGTGTGTGCGTGTGTGTGGCCAGAGGAGCTGAGAAATCGGATTTCTTAGTAATAAGGAGAAGGGCCACAGAAGAAGCAGAGAACTCGACAGAGCAGCAAGGACCGCTGACAGGTACGGGATGACATTGAGGTGAAAAAGAGAGGACGACAGGCGGCAGGGATAGACGAGGTGCTACCATGACCGAAGGTACGTACAATCCAGGCGTACCGCAGCAGATCAGGGAGCCACGACGCAGGGGCTTGCATGCGGAAGAGGTGGGGTTCCAGGTTCCAGGTTACCTACCTTAGGTTGCCCGAAAGGCACATACTCGGAGATACATACGTACACAGTACGTACTGTCTTCCAAGTCTCCCCTCACTTTACAACATACCATTTCCATTTCCATTTCCATTTCCATTTTCGAGGGATGGGAGACGAGGATAACTTGACAAGACGTGCTAACGCAAGGCAAGGGCCCTACCTGCTACCCCTTCAGCCCTCTAAGATGCCGTGGCCGCGGGTGTTCTGCCCGACCTTTATCTGTCTCTAACACAACTCTGTCGGTCTGTCGGTCTGTCGGTCTCCCCCATGCCCTGCCTTACAAGTACGATGCGTGTCTTTCCTGGCTCCAATGGCACCTAATCCTGGCTGAGCCTGGCGGTTGTGAAGCTGATTGGCTGTGAGAGTCAATTGTACCTTGCAGATGGTGAGCTGGTATCGTGGAGGCCAATGCTGGGCGGATAGTCAGGGGCTAGCACTTTACACTTCACACAGCCTAACTTAACGCCATCGACCATTGCCAGTTACCACACCACACGCACACCGGGTCAAGGCTCATTTAACAAAGGTGTCGCCGACTCGCCGTTATTCATAGCATGCCAGCAGCCATGCAACGGACCACATGGCTTAAGTTGTGTGCCAAGTCATCAACAAGCACTTCTGCTGTACAGAGTACGGAATACTCTGTAAGACACGGCACACAAAAGGAAGGGTATCCGAAGAGGGAAAACCTTATGGCACGCCCATCCAGGGGACGATTTCAGGACTGCCTCTCTTATACGATGTAGCCGTAGCCGGTGTCTTTTCTTAGACCTTGACTGTCTAGACGAAGCAGAGGCATGGGCAAAGATGGTGCTACCTATTATGAGTCTTGTCTATTCTTGTCATTTTTCATCCATCTAGATATCGATGGCCTTTGCGAGCATCCTTCGGCCCAGTCCGTCTGGGTCTGTACGTATATTAGAACCAACACCTACCCGGGTTTTTATTGAAATGTCTAAATGTACCGACAGGATGTTCCCATCTGTTCAGTGGCAGGCACGCAGGCTGGCTGGCAACCTAACAAGAGAAGGAACTTACCTTACCTAATTCCGTACCTTGACAGATTACAGTACACAGTACCTGTGTTGGAAGAGGCAAGAAAAAACGACCAGAGGATCCACTTTTCCAGAAAGCCTCTGAAACAAGCCGCTCTCAAGACCAAGGTTGCACTAAGCTGACCAAGGTAGAGTCCCGGTGGAGTTGCCCACGGGTAACGGGGCTGCTTGAGGTACCTAGCCCTGCTAGACTGCTAGTGTACGTACCTACCTTACACTGTACCTTGACCGGCTGGTTGCGACTAAGGTACTCTAGCTAAGATAGGCAGCAGGTACTCCGTACTGCGTAAACAACCGATACCTACCCTTTTTTTTTTTTTTTTTTCCCCATCATCCCACCAACACCGCAAACTTCTGACTTGGCACTACCAGCCTTGATCTCCGAACAGCCAGTCTGTTAGTACGACATGCGTCCAATTGGGCAAGACGAAATGGAAAGATGCAGGAGCTGGTACCTGTGCGTCTCGGTCCTGTCACACCAAGGAAGCATCGGTGGAGGCTAACAACCACCACCGATGCAGTAGAACATCTCCATGGCCCCGAAACTGAGGGCTTGAACCAATCTTACAGAGCGCCTCCAGGACACATCCAGGAAACACTCCCACACCACTACACAAGGAGTTACCGAATGCCCCGTCGATCACGTCCGCGTCTCATCCGCATCTTCATTGCTCACTGTCTTTGCGCTCTTCGTCCGGTCTTCTGACACCGACCCAGGCGCCAGATCACTGCACAACATCGTCACATTCGACTAAAACAGCCAGAACGAGCGACTCGCCGCCCACTTTACGCCTGTCTGAAGCAACATGACCCGATCCCTTCGGCTATACCTGTCCCTCTGCGACGTGTCGTGTCTGGGATGTGGTCGGCCACACGGCGGGAGAGTGGGGGTTGATGCACGGCGGAAGCCAATGAATACCAGGATACTGCACGATGCAGCATTCTCCCGAAGGAGCGGCGTGGCGGCGTAGCTTTGGGGCTGATGCGAGATGCGAGCAAACAATGAAAACAAACTGCGATCGGTCTCAATCACTGCCCGAACCACTGCATGGTATCGTCATTTTGGAGTCACACAGATCCCCCGTCCCGCCATGCCTTTGCCAGCTCACCTCCCCCGTATTCCGCTGAAGATGTTTTCTTTTGCCAAGAGAGTCAATGCTGAGTCAATGCTAGATATCGTTCTGTACATTTCGTACATCATCACTGCGGTAGACTCTTTCGTGTTTGCTTACCGTGTAAGTGAGCGAACTTCGGATCATCGCCGCCTACGTTGCTGGCCGCATGTGACCATGTAATCCATGCAAAGCTTTAATCGCGATAGGGAATACGTCCGGTAGTCCTGTATCTTGCTGGTCTCCAACCTGTTTCTTTTTCCTTTCTATCTTGTGCTTCTTTTAATTTCTTTTGTTTATTTATTTTTTAACCTTTTCCGCCTAGCCAATCTCCAGGTTCAGCTCGGAGGATTCAACGCCCACAAATTCGGGGGAAATCGAAAGGGTACCTAGGTTGGCCAAGCATGCAGCCGTTCATCTTTCAGTGTAAATCAAATGCGCTGCTGCGCTTCCAAATTTCATTATCCAGCCGCAGAAAACGAAAATGTGTCGTTGCTGAATTCCAAGTCGGTTTCTAGTGTGACACTCCTCGGATTTTGACCGGCGACAGCAAGTGATTGCCATTTGCTCTCGTTGCTCTCTGGCGGCGTGCCCACCTAGCAATGCGCGTGTACACTACACGCCAGAGTCCTCTCGCCCTAGGCTCTTGGGATGACGTTTCAGTAGGGTACAATTCCTACATTTTACATGATCGATGAACATGGGATAAGTCATCGCCTCGGTCCTCGCCCGCGCGGGCCTTGACTCAGACGACACAGCGGAAGAAGAAACGCCCCAGCCTCAGCGCGAAATTGATTTTGCGGATGACTTGATTTGCTAGCAAGTCAAATTTTCAGTCGGGCTGTCTGCGAAAACATATCGACCGTTTGTCACGGCCATGCCGCCGCAGCCATTGGGTCGCATTATGAGACGTGTGAGGTGCTAGACTCTGGAGATCTCAACGGGTCCATTCTACCAACGCAACGCTGGCGTACAGGCTGCCAATCCACACATCCTTCTCGCTGCCTTATCACGTCGATCTCCGCCCTAAGGGTTCCAAACGTGCTCACCATCAAGAGAACGTGAATGTTTCATGCCATTGCCATAGAGAAGCAGGCGACTTGCGGCGTGCGTAATATATTGCGAATCATCAAATGCAGAGTCGTAGTCCTGTCTCGAATCGTCGCTTAGTCAATCGCTACCTCCCTGTTCCGGCTCAGGCTTTGTATCCCTGAGAGCGAGTCACAACAGCTTGCTGTGCCTCGGCACCTGAGTCTACGTTCTCTGGGTCGTTGCCCATCATCAAAATTCCAGCGATAGGACATAGTCATTTCAGGCCCTTGGTACAGGATTCTGAGCAAAACACCCGAAGGTGGACAAGAAGGCTCCTAGGCCTCTGTCATCGTTGTATAAGCGAACGATATTATACTCGGATACTGACAGCATGGTTTGTAGGGACATCTTCAATATTGTACATATTGCAGCAATCCACGCGATACTGCCCTCTCCAAAGCCCAAAGCCCTCAGCAAGGTTGTCATGATCCACTGAATGGGCCCCGGTGCCCGTCATTAGCCTCAGTGATCTACAACCGTTTCCTGGTGTTTCTAATGGTCATCAATTACTCAAACGGCCCGTTTATCCCCCGTGATGTTGGCGGCAGTCAACCCAGCGCATAACCAAAACATATCGCCCTGACAGGAAACGCATCACGTCTGCTGCGGGTACTCTGTCTGAAGTTTCTGGACATCTCAAACCGTCCGATTCCGACAAACGGTATTGACATCCCGTCATTCGCCGTTGGAGATCACATTCCTATCTTTCTGTGACTGCAATCGTACTACCTGCGAGCTGATGTGTCAGAAGTTCTCCGCCTCGAGGGCTTATACGCATGTGCCAATGGCCAATCACTCTGAAATGTCAAGATATTTTGCTCCCGCCGCCACGGGCCTGCCGCACCAGTATGAGAATGTCGGATAAGCAACTCATGTGAACTTTGATTGGAGGCGAGGGCGACAGACGAAGAAGAAAGGCGAGGTCCACATCGGCGACAACCCTATGCCATGTCCCTAGTCTTATCTCCACACATTGGCAAGGATATGAAACGCAACTGATGGCTATTTTCCATCCTGTTGACTCGCACAAAAGCTACTGACATATCCATGCCCAATGGGCTGGACTGACATGGCCAATCCAATCTACTTGTTGCAGTCGTCATTAATTCCCAGCTCATCCTCGTCGTTGTGTCCACAGCCATTGAGGGTTACTTGCTCGCCCAAGTCCGCCAAAACCTTGCGAGACCATGTCTGGCTGCTCCGGATAACCCGCCGGCATCCGTCCCGTCTCCTGGCTCCTGTAACATGGCTTCCCAATCGGGACTTACCCAGAACTCGTGGCCAGTTCTCTGAACCCATGCCAAGCTCGTCAACTCCGTCAATTCCAGCGATTCCAGCGATTCCAGCGCTCGAGTTTCTCTTGCGGCTGCCATGATCCTCGTTTTGTGTACTCTTTCTCTTCCCCGCTAGTCGTCGGCCCACTTGGTCACCAACAGGCTGATCCGTCAGTCTGGGGCTTGCGATAACCAGAGGCCCGGCTTTGTCGGCTCCTTCCGTGGTCGGATCCGGCTCCGATCGATCCGCCAGGACCCGGACGTCATCTTTGCCACTGTTGTGTCTACCACTTCGGCGCCGAGGTAGGGCTTCCCGGGTGAAGTCTCTTTGCCTTCTTGCCAACGGGCTAACTGCAATCCATTCGCTGATGCCTTCTTCCCACCGAAACCCCGTAAAGTTGCCCTTGGCTGCAATCATGCTGTTTTTCTCGGCTAGGTCTTCCTTTAACGTCTCTGCAAAAACGAGATCGCGTAGGTCATCCGTCTTCTGGGCCAAAACAAAGGCACCGTTACCCCTTAATCTTGCAAACTCTGGCGTCTCAAGGGTATCGATGAGTTCGCAGACTTTGGCAAAGTAGGAGTTGGATGGCTGGCCGGTGGCTCTCCCACAACAGTGAGCAATCGAGCTGGTGAAGTCGACAGTGGTGTCGAGAAGCTGGCTGTCGTTGTTGCCCGTACTTGGGGCTCTCCCCAGGCCCAGACCATGTCCTAGACCGTCTATCGCCGCCTTCAGTCGGAGTCGAGTGGCTTCGTGCGCCGCTCTGGGGGATAGAGACAGAAACAAAGCCAGTAGGAGGGGATATGCGGCTTCCTTGCTACCGACCCGACTTCTCACCAGTCTCAGTGCTTGGTGGAGGATATGAACTACCACTCTCTGGGTCCGACTTGTCTGACTTGCACTGATGCCGGGTGCAGCGTTTCCGAAATCCTGCGAAATCATAGCCATGGCTGACAATGCACCAAGTACACTCATCAAAGTGAGCATGGCAGGTTTTGATCCCGATGTGAGCGCCGAGGAACGCCTTTGACGTCTTGGGTAGGCATTCACGCACAGAATCGCAAGTCCGGTTGACGCGAAGTCAGTTGCGGAAGGGCGCGCTCTTTTCTCGAGTACAGCGGAAGCTGCTATACTCCATAAGCCTCCAAAACCTCTCCCTGAGACCATGTCGAAGGGGGGCCGTCTATGGACCAACAGTGAGGACAATGTTTCGAGCAACTGAGATTCCACAATTGGATCCTCTGCAAGGCTTAACAAATAGGCTGGTAGCTGGCCTTCCCTGTTGGCTTTAGACGCATCTCTTGATTCTAGGGGCTCGCAGTAAAGGAAGCAAACCAGGGCCTCCGTAAGGCCTGCTGCTTCGTGATGAAACTGCATAGCCTGGCAATGATCGATCAAGATGCGAATAAATGAGATATCGAGCAGACCCTCCCCGATAACTCCTTTTAGAAGATGAATAGCATGTGCCCGTAGGAGTGTGCGCAAGTGTCTCCAGCCGTTGTCGGTGCCCCCGAGAGTCTGTAGCTCATCGTATACCCGTAAAGAATAAGCCATCCGCTTGATAGAGGACACCGGTCCGTTGTTCACGGCCTGGGATTTCTCCCAATTTTCAATCTCCGTCGCGCACTGGGGCAGTTTGTTGAGGCACATCGACAATAGCGACTTCTTACCACCTGTAGGATGGTCCAGTATCGTCGAGCGTAGGAGAGTATCCAGGTCATGTAGAATACCCTCGTAAAGCTGGTACCTTCCCGGTGGAAGTCTGGCTCTGAGCTGTGCTAATTTAGAAATTGAATTGTCCAGTGGCCCGCGTCTCGTAGTCTTTAGGGGCATACAACTGCTTCCTGTCTCCCGACATTCTGGTGGGCCAACACTCGGCGATTTTATAATATGGCGTCTGACTTTGCGAAGAATCGGCGTTGAGACGCTGGGCATCCTGGAAGAATGATTTTTCGGTCTTTGGCGAAGGCTCTTGGGTTGGATAGTAGACCTTGGTGACATTTTGCCGTAGTCCTCTGAGGAATCAGTCAACTTCCCGGAATATGTACGGCGCGGGCGATGTCGCTGTGTCTCAAAAGAGTAGGATTCGACTATGAGGTTCGGATTCCTGGCCGTTTGGTGATTTAGCGCATCATCTAGGGCTGCATTCTCAGGCTCATCCTGCCCGCAAGCAGCTCTCTCGGCAATTGCAACCTTCCGTAGCAAAGCAATCCGCGACTGAAGAGGACGCAAAAGTCGTTGGCATCTCGAAGAAGTCCAAGGCAGATTGAAATGGCCGGGGAATCGGGTACCGTCTACTTCTGCCCTGACCTCGGTCCTCCTACACTCATTGCTAACCTTCGCCATTTTTGGTCCACCGGTCCCTCCACTCGCGTCAACCCCAATACTCTGTAGTGGATTGGTGGTTTCAAAACATTGAATAGGATGCGTTTCGACGTATGAGAATACGGTGGTGTGTGTTATTGGAGGATAGTAAAGTGATTCTGCTGAGTCGCTTGTCTGTTATCGATTTGAAGTGGTGATGACGACTACCCAAAACTGAAGCTGCTCAGATTCGCAGTGTGAGAGCAAGCTGAGTAATAAGTGAGTGCTCGAGTGCTCGTAAAAAATAGATAGCTTCCAATTAGAGCAATAGTGAATACGGGCGTGGTGTGCTGATGTTGAGGAGGTAGCTCATGGTATGCTGAGTAGTTAATTGATGAGTGAAGCTGAGGTTGGATGTTTCCATCACATTCAATGTTTACAAACTCCCTAATCAGGTATGGTGTGTACATCAACCAGGGGAAGTCATCCAAATGGAAAAGACCACTTGGCGCAACGCTAATTGGAAGGTCACGTGTGCACGACCCACCTTAGCTCAAATTATGGAGTACCCCCCCCCCCCCCCGGCCCCCGAGTGCGTTACGTAAGAACGGTTGAAGGGAAGCAACTTATATTTCTGGTCGTGCCCACCGTGGTGAAATCATGGAACCTGAGAACTCGACGTGTCTCCGAAAGCTTCCAGTAATCAGTTCGCATAGATGCTGCGGGTAAGTGTATTGCACATGGACATATACAACCTGGAGTGCTTGACCCTTTAGAGGCAAAAAGTAGGCGCAGAGTTACGACCTAAGGTACACTTCAATGAGGACCGGGCCTCGCTACGGGAGGCTCTGTCAGGGCTCGCTACCTACCTTCCGGGACAGCTTAGGGAGAACCGACAACGACTGACAGAGCTCCCCCAAGCGGAGTGGGCCCGAAAAAACCGACAGCTCCAGCTTTGCCGGGCCGGTGCATTGCCGTCAATTGATGAATGACAACGCGACTTTTTTTCTGCCGTGAATTTTTTTCCCCGATCGTTCCTAAAAGGCACTCTACCCTCTCACCTCTCCTCTACCACCCCCCTTTCGATCCGCAACTGGCTGTTGAGTTGGAAACCTCATATTCTCTCCAAGGCCGAGTATTCCTTTCTGCCACCCGTCACTTCGGAGCTGCGCATCCATATTCCACAGACCGCTACTTACGCCGTTCTACCCTATATTAATTGTGTATCTGCATTGATTTGTGCGATTGCTCAATTCTTCCCAACCCTCTCCACTTCGAAGCTTCGATTATATATCCATTCCCCCCCAGGGTTTTCTTCTCCGCCGAGAAACATAAACTCCAGTTCCTTCTGGTATTTCTGCTTAAACAAAGTACCAATGTCCCAATCCGACCAACCCAAAGGCAAAGGTACCAACTATCCACGAGGAAAACCAATATACGCAGTGAAACCCCATACCAGTTCCAAGCTAAACATTGAGTCTTTCTAGAAAATGCCGAAAAGGAGGTAGCGCCTCCCATTGAGGCCGAGGCCGAGCTCCAGGCTGAGGGCGAGATCGATCAAGGTCTAGACGGTGAGTAATGCAAGCTTGCTGGGATTGAAACGTCAAATGCTGATGTATAGTAGCCTTGGTAACCCTTACGATCAAGCTTCCTAACGAACCCCGTCAGATGCAGATTACGGTCAGCTGTGCTTAGTCCACTCGCAATACACCCACTGACCAGTTTTGTACAGGTGTCTCCACAAGAACAGGTTCACGAAGTTCGACAGTCCATCATCGACCTCCCTGTGGCGTTCCAGTACACTTGCTTCCACCTGGAGCACCGCGGCCAACGCATCAATGACTTCCTCCCGATATCCGAGATCGAAGGCCTAGTCGAAAGTCCTGAAGTCACATTGGTCGAAGACCCATACACGGAGAAGGAGGCCCGTATACACCTCGTGAGAATTAGAGAGCTCATTGGTGCGGCTGGAGACCGCACCGACGCTGTGCAGGGTATTCTTCCTGGCCTCTCTCTGCTTGACAGTGTCTTGCCGCAATCCGAGGAACAGACCAACGGAGAGCAGACGGAGGCTGCCAAAGAGACGAAGGAGGATTATAGCTTTGGGACGCCGGTTCCAATCTCGACCTTGTTGCCTCCCGTCGAGGAAGAAGAAGCGCCCAAGACGGTCAAGACAATCACTCTTTCACCGTGGAACCCGCCGCCGCCCCACCTCAAGCAAAAGGGGCATCTCTTGTACCTGCTTGCTACTACTAACGAGGGTGAGCAACACCAAATCACAGCCCATGTTGGGGGTTTCTTCATCAACAAGTCCTCCAATGCCAAGTTCGATCCTTTCCCTCGCCCGGCACCTAAAGCCGCTTCGAACCACTCCCTGCTCGGGCTCCTCGACCAGATTTCGCCGTCCTTCTCGGCATCTTTCCTCAAGCTTCAGGAGTTCAACAACCGCAAGGACCCTCTGGCGACTTTCCAAATCACCAACGCGATACCCTCTTCGCCATGGATCGTGCCGTCATCCAACTCTCCCCTCTCCGCTCATACCCCTGACTGGACACGTTCCCAGGAGACGTATCTCATTGCAGGCGCCGACAACACCGACACACTGAGAGACTGGAACGAGGAGTTCCAGTCTGCAAGGGAGCTTCCCAGTGAGACCGTGCAGGACCGAGTCTTCCGTGAGCGTCTCATGTCCAAGCTCTTCGCCGACTACAATGACGCAGCCACTCGCGGTGCTGTACTCGTTGCCCGTGGCGAAATCCCTCCGCTGAACCCTACGGAATGCAAAGATGCCCAAATTTTCGTTTACAACAACATCTTCTTCTCTTTTGGTGCTGATGGCGTGAAAACCTTCACTTCTGAGGGAGGCGACGAGGCAGCTCGTGTTGCCACTGGCAAGGACGTCGCAGGAGTCAGGCTAGTGAACCAGCTTGACATTGATGGTCTCTTCACTCCTGCTACGGTTGTTATTGACTACCTTGGCAAGCGTATTGTTGGTCAAAGTATTGTCCCCGGAATCTTCAAGCAGAGGGAGCCTGGTGAAAACCAGATCGACTACGGTGCCGTGGATGGCAAAGAGAACGTTGCGGCGGACGAGCGATTTGCTGACGTTTTCTCCAAGCTGTCTCAGGCTATCAAGGTCAAGAAACATGCTGTCTGGGACAAGGATGGCAAACGATTCGAACTTGAAGCCAGCGTGGAGACCAAGGGCTTGTTGGGAACCGACGGACGTAAATATGTCCTCGACCTGTACCGTGTGACGCCTCTTGATATTGACTGGCTCGAGGAGGAGGGTGATGTCGAGTACCCTCACCGTATGGCCGTCCTTCGCCCTGAGCTGATTGACTCGTATGGGCGGAAGAAGATGAAGGCTTGGGTTGACGAGGAGCTGGCACGCCGTGGACAGAATACCAAGGCTGCGGCTGACGAAACCCCGGCTGATACCAAGAAGAGCAAGGACGTCTCTGCGAAGGGAGAAGATAGTGACGAAAGTGACGAAAGTGATGACAGCGAGGAGAGTGAGAGTGAGAGCGACAGTGAGAGCGAGAGCGAAGAAGAATCGGAGGCCAACAAAAAGGAAGTTAAGGCGGAGAAGCCAAAGACCAAGGAGGCGGAGGCGGAGGCACCGAAGGAGTCGACGGATTCGA